TCCTGTTTTACTGATGAGGAAACAGTTCTATAACTTATCCAAGGCCACAAAGCTAAAAATGTGTTTCAATCAGACCTGTTTCCTTCAAAGCCCATGCTCTTAGCTACTCTATTGCCTTTTAGAGATGTTTATTTAGCTTACTATTATTATAATTCAGAGGAACATCCCAATGTAAGCATCATGTTTCTTTAACTCTAAGACATCTATTTTTCACCACATTTGAAAGTTATGATATTAGAATGCTCCTCCGTTGGTGTGTACAGACGTCATGTTGGTGGTGGTCCTGACTTTCCATCCACCCCTTTCCAGCCTACACAGCCAAGGGTGTATCCTCTAAGTCACAGGGCACAGGCTTCAGTCAGTATCAGCAGGTTGCTTTTCTTTAATCATGACCTTGAGGTCATTTTAGGAAGCAGCTCCTGTCCGATGGCAAGTTCTTTCGCCTCGCCAAACCAGCTCTGCTCAGCCATTGTTTATTCATAAAATGGTGTGTGTATTCGCGGGTAACTTGGATAGGTAAGTCCTTTTAATTTTTTATTCTTTTTATATATTAAAAAATGTAATGTTGTTTAGTTGATTTTTTTTTCCCTTGACTGGCCCTTTAAAGACCCGGAGAGTCTTTGTCTTGACTTGCTGCCACTTAAGAAAATTTCACAGTAGTTGAGAACTAATTTCATCAGGAAACATTCTGAGCTTCAGTTAAAATGTAAAATGCTTTCTTTAGCCCCAGGATAAAATAAAATTTCATTTGCTTTTACTTTTCTGCAATAATGCCAATAAGGAGATATTGCCAGGGGCATTAGGGAAGCCAATTCTATAGCTGAACAAATCGATGATAAATCCACTTGCCAAATCCTGAATATACCCAGTGAATGAGTATTATGTACACACACACACACACACACACACACACACACACACTCACACACTGTCACACACATACTCACACATGCACACTCACACTCATACACACACGTACTCTCACATACATACACATGTACACTCACATACTCACACACACACACACACACACACACACTCACACACACTCACACACTGAACTAGCCAGGGTAAGGATGAGATTTCCCTAAAATAACTTAGTCCTAAAATAAATAAAATACCGAGATTCTCATGTTCTCAAAGTCCTCACATAGCTGCTCTGTGTGCACAGTTGTGAACTGAAACCAACATAGCAGCCTGACTAACAACAATAGACAGCACTTACTGAGTGATAGCATTATTGAATGATGACTATGTGTTTGCCCCATTCTAAGCACTTTCATCCTAGAAGCTGATGCCATTATTATTTCCCATTTTTCAGATGAAGAAACTGAGGAACAGAGAGGGTAAATCCACTGCTGAAGGTCTCATAGCTGATGAATGGCAGTCTGGTTCCAGAGCCTACATATTTTTTGCCTGTGTACTGTACTGCCTCTTGCTGTACATCCAAACCAAATATAGGCTTCAGAAAATGCTAGACAAAACTCTAAACTGTGATAATGGTTGTGATGGTGATGATGATAATTATAGCAACCACTTATTGAGTCTTTAACTGTGTACTTAGGCAGTATGGTAGGCTTTTTTTCACACATTATCTCATTTAATCTTCATAATCTAGGGATTTAGATTTTATTATCCTTATTTTATTGTGAAACTGATGCTCAGAGAGCTCAAGTGATTAAGGTCACAGAGCTAGTTATTGGCTACTTGGTAATTCATACAAGACTATAACTAGCCCACTGCCTCACTCCCACACTTGCATGAGTTCCCGATTTGGTAAGTAAAGGGAACTAGAATGTTCTTCTCAGCACTGTGATAGTCATTATAAGTTTCATGGTCACTAATTACCAATAGGAAACTTGCTACCTTTCCACCTCAGAGTGAAGCTGGGTATGATATATCTTAAAATGCCTTAACATCCCTTGGTAAGGTGTGTACTTTGTGACTTTAGGCTGTAATATTTCTGTTAAAATTAATCACTCTTTGGAATAGTGTCTGACTTCTGAATTAACTGCAAATGAATGGCAGAAGCAGAATGGTACAAAAATGACTGAAGTTTTACCTCCATATTTGCTCATAACACTGGTTGGGAAAAAAGCAGACAACAAAAATCCTTAAATATAACAAAAACCCTTAAATAGATTGAAATTTCCTACCCTTTTAAATTTACTGAGATTCAGTAAATGGAAACAGTCAGATTCCAGACAAGGGAGCAAAACTACAAGTCCCAGGTGGTGGGATTTCTTCCTGTTGAGAGTTGAATGCCGGGAGCCTGAAGGGAGATGCGGGCATGTTCCCCTGTGTGGGAGGGGCATTCGCTTCCCAGGACCCCTTGCCCAGCGAGCACAAACCTGTGGCCCGGGGTGCCTCGTAGAAGCTGCATCAGAACTTTGAGGAGGAGGCTCTGGAGTAAGTTATTGCCCCAAAGTCACACAATGAGAAAAAGGTGGAGCCTCAACCCAATCCCAGGCAGATCTAAATTCAGGGCTCTTAACTACTGGGTCGTCCCAGCTTGGTTTCCAGGTAGGCAAAGACTCCTAGCAGTGGAGGTGACTTCCCTACAGGTCTACCTCACCAGATTAGCAAAAAAGTAAAACATGCTTTCAAATGTACATTTAGATTTTAATGTTATTACTTTCAGGTGAATTTTCAAATATGAAAAATAGTTCATGTCAAGAACTCAAATGAAAGAATCTCCAAATATATTGAGAGTTTTCTTTTTGCGCCTTTTCTGGGAAAGCTCTGTGAAGATTTTTAAGGAATTGAAAATGGGTAGGTATAGTAATTCTTGCTCTCCTTTTTTGGTGTAATTTGACTACTTTATAAGGCCTGAACCAGTAACTTTGTGTCAGCAGATGCAGGGCACGCACCTTTTTCTGGGACGATGATTGTGTTTATGTTACAAAGATTTAAAATAAACATGGTGCTACATGAATGTGGCCAATTCATCTACTTTGGTATTGTGAGTATCTTGGTCTCTTCTGGCACTAGGAAGAGGATATGATGCCACTGGGCACATTTCTAAAACTCTCAGACCAGACTTCACGAGTGGGCCATGTTGATTTCTCCATAAATGTAATTTTTTTTCACTTTAGGAGGTTTGTGTACAATATCAAATCAATTATCAAACCACAGTTTCTAAAATATAAAAAATTTAAATAAAGTCAATGCTTATTCACTATATGGAGAGAACCAAATCAAGCTTCTCCTTTGAAGCTCATTTCTGTTGGTACTTATGGGCTGGGAGAGCTGTCTTTGGGATGGCGGTGGGCAAAGGTGGTAGATCTAGCCCCTGAGAAGGGCATGGGTTTGTAACTGGCAAAATGATTAGCCATTAAATTATCAGAAGAATGAACTCCTAATAATTCCTTCTAAACAATGAAGCATTTTCTCCATCAAGTGGTGGGGAACAATGGTGCCCTTTGCTTGGACACTGGAACAGAAAAATGAGAGGGAAATACACATCAGTGAATACAGTTTCTCTTGAACTCTTAACATTTACATCTCAAGGGCCAGCGGCCTGGCAGGAATGAATCCGGGTATTCTATTTTGGGCCCAACTCTAGGAAATAGCTTCCAGGACTGACCTGATCTGAGAATGAGTTATAGATATTATAACCAACTTTTCCTTCACACAAATACCCCATCCCTCCAGAAAACTTAATAGGCTTTTGAGAGCCTCCATTTAGAGCCGGCTGCATAAAATGATCCTTTGATGAAAAGGGATTGGAACAAGGGTTAAAGCCGACATTGAAAGGTGACTGTGGAGGGCACAGTGTTCATACAACCCTCCTTTAATATGTGTGGTGTGCACCTGTGATAAGATGATTCATTACTTAGGGCCAGTCTTTGACAAGCTCCATCGTTCAGCCCTCGGGGTTCTGACGGGACAATCCTGCACCCGCCCAGGAAATATAACAAGGTCAGCTTTTTTTCCCCTGGGACGTAGATGGAGATGGTTTAGCTTATAATGCATCTCTGTTTACTCTTTATGTAAAATAAAAACAGGGTTCAAGACATCACAATTCCTGTTCTCCACAGAGTAGGCCAAGCAGGGCTGTGCAAACTCCCTGCCAGCTAAATAACTCGAAGGAAAAAGCTTGCAGAGGGTTCAAGCTCGTTCTCTTCTGTGTTTATTCATCAGAAACAGCAACATTTGAGATGGAGGTGCCCTAACCGCCGAGGCTGAGCTCTGTGTCAGGCCTTCGAATGGAGGGCACCCGACACCATCAGCTTCAACTCTTGTCTGCTTTTCATGCTGCCTTTCCATTTATTGGGGTCTTGAAGATGGATCCACCCTCATACGAAGCTCCAGCAGTATCTCCGTGACTGCAGTGCTGCCCATTAGTGGGGAAGGGCATGGGCGCACCGCCCAGGATGTGAGGAAGGCTCGCTGGCCTTGGCAGACTGAGGTGAACCTACAGGCATAAAGAGACCACCCAGCTTCCCTGAGAACCAGTCAGAGTCCAGGCATGTGTGGCCCATGTGCGGCGGGCTTCACTCTAACTTACCCTTTCTCTTTGATGCTTTTATAGGACTTCTTCAGTCGTTCCCCATCACCTCCCCATACATTCAGAAATTGGCTTTATTAAGGCTAGTTTAGAAATCTTAGAGCAATTAGGAAAGAAAACTTACCAGTTTCCCCCATTACCCAAGTTTAAAAAGAATGAAAAAAATAAAGCAAAACTGAAATTTTATTTTAAAAATTTACCTTTTTTTTTTAAAAAAAAGAATGCCCCATCATGAAAAGTAATTTCTTCAATTAAAGTCAGAACATATGTCACTGTATAGAAATAAAAACAAAATAAAAGGAAAAAAGTCTTGCTTCTAAAATATAGAAAACCCTCCCAACCCTTCTCCTATTCTTGACATTGCTAGTAAACATTATTTATTTGCCTCGAATGGATGCGGCTACATATCACTGTCATGCAAAAGAAATTCATTTCCTTTCCAAGTTCAATCTGCCATAAAAATTCACTCTTGTTCCCATCTCCCACTCACCTGTCCTTGTGCATTAGTTACTAGTTGACCCGTGACCCCCTGAAGGCTGGAGAGGGCATTGCCAAGGGCCTGTGAGCTGGCTACGGAGCCCATGGCTGCTGCTGCTGCAGCCGCTGCAGCCTGACTTGCTAGTGGATTATTAACCAGCTGAAAAGAGAGAAAAGATCAGGGTAAAACCATGGAGAGGCACAGGTACAGCACACACATGCAACAGTCACTGGGTGAGGAAGCTTTTGACTGAACTGGCTCATGCAAAGGGCCGGGAACCCACGAGAGAGGACCTAGGGAACATTTCTCTGAAGCTGTAGGGTTTGGGGGAGGTTGGAAATGAGGCTGGAAGGACAGTATTCTCCACTAACGTGCCTGCTTCATGGAGCTTGGATTTAGGACTAGCCCCAGGAGAGAGTGAGGTGGACTAGTGGGATCTTCTTACGTGGAGAAATGATTTTGGAGAAGTCCCTGGGTTTTGTCCTCTAGACCAAATAAAACTCTGAGGAAATGTCTACTTTCTTTGAGGTAACCAGACAGACTGTGGAGTTAAAACAGTATGGGAGTGGGAGTGGAGGAGAGGAATAAATTCTAAGGAATTCTGCAAATGAATTGACCTTTTTCATTTGTGAATTGCAGTTTCCATTAGGGTTATCTGATAAGGCAGATACTTCACTCCACTTCTGTCTCCAAGGAGGAAGGAAACCAAAGTCAGTAGAAATGGAAACCTCTGACCTCTGTGCTCTCAGAGGGGCAGTCTAGGGCTGGGACATTTTGGGGGGCTCATCCTGACCATGAGATTCAAGGGAAATGAGAAAGGTCCTTTGGTGAATGGCCAGGTTAACATCTGCTTGCTGTTTTAGATAATAGATGGCATTCCCTTGGTCTCTTTCATGGGACAAGAGTGAAATAGAGAGAATAATTTGATTGGGTGGGAGTGGGGTAGGGGGGTAGGGGGGGCACTCAAGGAGGAGGTTATGGCTGCCAAAAATATGTTTTTCCATGGAGACCAATTCAATATTCTTTATCCTGCCAATTTTCCACACCACAGGTTTTCAGGCCTTCTGACCATGAGGCAGAAGTGTAGCTTGAACTAAAATCTGCATTTAGGTTAATGACTAGATATAAATTCAGGAAACATTTAAACTATTTTCACAGTATTGGTTTTGATACATGAATTTCATTTGTATTTATTCTAGGGTGTTATTTTTTTCCCCATATAGTTCCTCTCAAGTACAACAATTGTTGTGTATAATAATGCATTTTCCATCATCAGTTCCCACATCCATGAAATTCCTGCATTTTAGCAGGAACTTGCCAAGGCTTAGACTTGGTGGAAAAAGAATTAATGCCATACTTAATTCAAGTCCTGGAAGCTCTTTGAAAGATGCCTCATTTTTATTTTTACTTTCTCCATCCTTTGTCTCAGTCTCTCTTCTTTCTCACTTTCTTTTCTTTCTTCCATTAAAACATATTTTATTATTTAATTCCTTTGGAAATTTGCCTAGAATTTATATTATCTGATGAGGAAGGAAATACTAATTGTCAGAGGAATATACATAACAAAGGACAGGAATTTAATAATTCTTTTTTTAATTAATGTGATATCCTTATCTTATTGGTTTCTTTATTCATTTGTAACCAATTTTCATGTAACTAGTTCCACTGTAATTCCATTGACCCAGCACTTTTTTAGAAATGAAAATCCATTTTAAGCTCATTACTTTATGTGTCTTTAGCTTTTACCTCTTGCCTAAAATACAATAATGATTTCCTTCTTAAGGAGAAAAAAATTCTCATTCATTGGTCAAAAGAGAAACCCTGTCTTATGCCAGATTACCACCAATGGGAATTTCAAATTTAGGTTGCCCTTAATCTTGGTTTTCCGAGTATATTTTTATAGTGTGTATAGGCAAGTAATGGTAATACTGAGAAAAATCCTAGGTTTTAGTTTGAGTCCCTAAAGTGAAAGAGTTCATATTGCATTCATTTTTCACTCTTAAAGTGAGGAGACCCCTTGAGGAGTCCTTCCCAAACTGCCTATATAGACACTACGCAGGGGTACACTATTCTCAGGTGGTCTGCTGGCTGCTGTGTTTACATTCCTCTCATGCAATACAAGTTGAAGTCAAAGTGAAATTCCTGAGTTTCAGGGAGATCTCAAAATAAGATTCTTAATTCTCTAAGAAAGATTAAATTATGTGCAGTTTGGTTTTAGTGTTGAATATACAATTTTATCCATGAATTGTGGATGAAAAACTTAAGACAGTGTATACAGAATGCTCTCTGAAGAAAACAGACCGTGATTCCCATTTAATGAAGAGAAAATATTTTTAGAAATTGCAAGACATTTCTCTATCATCTAGGTCAATCAAAAATCCATGTAGGAAATTATGGGATTATTGTCTGGATACAATATATTAGTGTAGATTGACAATTTCCCACATTTAGGACACGTATATATTGTTGAGCTATAGTCCCATGTATTTGCTATAAATTCAGGCATTACGTATAAAGGATAAACTCTTGTTCTGAATATAAAACAAAGTAGATACTTAAAAGCAGGCTCTGAGCTTTTGCGTTATGGGGCCAGGAATGGGTCCCCTTCTACTGCTTTGAAAGGTTGCTTCAGCAACCACAAATGTACGGTTGTTTATTTTTAATGCTTTTTCCCTCTACATCCCGGTCCTAGGTTGTTCCCTTTTATGCTGCCTATCCCGCTTAATGGCGCCAATGCTGACTCAATGACTCTTTTATTTTCTACCCTGCATCCCTAGGTCTTTGTGAAAGGTGTGTGAGTTCTGAGGAAACCCCTGCTGGCCCCTGGAACTGGTGTTAGAACCAAAGGCGAGAAAGTGGAGTAGACAGACAGCGGGTACAAGTTAATTTGTAAGCTGACAGCGTTTCAGGTGGACCATTGGGTCGTTGATGGACACAGCTTCATAACTAGCTTTTGGCTTTCCTGTCTGTGATCAGACTGCCAAGGCAGGGATGTAATATGCATAAGACATGTGGCAGGGAGAGGGGAGGGGATGGTGGGGAAACCATACGTGTTCTCTTCATCACCTCGGGTCATGTCACTCTGTATTGTCCCTAGTCATGTCATATTAGCAGTGCTCCTATCGATACTTCCTCTTGATTGAAGACTCAGAGTAGATTTGGACAGCAGGGTGCCCAGGCACAATAAATGCACATAGCAAGCTTGCTAACGTTCTGGGAACAACTGGATGTTTTGAAGTTGCTGCCAAGTTTATGCCTTCAGGTCTTTCATTGCCAATATACCTGACCAGCAAAGGGTAGCCTAAATAAAGCCGGACTGCATTACATGCTTGCGTTTTTAACAGACCAACTTGAAATACATGCTGAATTCTGGTGCATGCTTTTGGATAAATGTGGCAGCTCTCAAAGGAAGGATTTGCAGAGGGCTAGAGTTCTCATGCTCCACCCAAATAGATTCTGGGCCTTGAATACATCAAGATATAGTTCTGGGATCCTCAGATAGCCTAAAACCCTACTAATAGAAACACCAATTTCTTAAGACAGTCATCACCTCAAATTTTAGAGAATAAAATAACAGAACAATTTTTAAAAGTAGTTTTGTACCAGTAAGGAAGGACCCCAGACTGCACAGAGCCCTGTCTCTCCATTCAGACAGATGAGGGTATCGCTCTGAAATCAGGTTGTCTGGGCTGTGACTTCAGGTAAACCACACCTCAATTTCTCACGGGTAAAATGGGTGTAAAAATATTGGGTTGTTGGAAAAATCATGACTTTTTTTTCTGTTTTTCATTGCAAAAATGCGTCATGACTTTTCCGACAACCCAATAATACCCATTTTACATATAGTGCTTATTCCAGGTACACACTACAGAGTTACGATGAGAATTAAGTGAGATTCCATACGCAGAAGCTTTAGAACCATACTTGGCATATATCATGTTCTTAGTAAGTGTTAGCTATTGTTCTTACAGTTCCCATTAGGCGTGTGGATGCTGAACTAATCAGTTTGTCAGAATTAGAACTCAACTCCATAAATAATGTGAACCCAGTGAACTGCAGTCTCTATATTTTAACTGTATTCTCTAATTTTACTGTACTTATTTTTTAAAAGAGTAGCTTGAAAGAAAATGTTAGCTAACAACATGATTGTTGGATGGGGTGAATTTCATGATTAAAAAGACAAATATGCTATTTAAAAATATTTCAGGCTGGAGGACATCAGAAAGAAGTATTTAATATATGATTTCACCTGCTTGTCTTGGAACTCTCATGTTTGATTATTTATAGAGAAATTTATAGGGAAAGTGGTGTTTTGATTCTGAGGCCGGAGTCAGTAGGTGACAGACCAGCAGGAGAGACCTTTCTAGTATGTTATCCTCACTCTTAGTTACAACATGTGTTAGATTCCCATAAGGACACCCATTTTGGAATGTAATTCCTGCCTCATGTCAAAATGTTGTGAATGAAATCTATCTCTCACTTGCATTTTTTGATGGTGAAGGCATGCAGGAAGAAGATTTATAAATAAATTTCCTTAGGATTTGCAGTAGCTTGTTTCTACATCCACATATCAACATGGATGAATAGTGGGTATAATGAGAATAAACCCTATAAATTCCTAAATCTATAGTGTTTTATGCACCTCCTTGTTAGCTGTGGACACTAAATGGTAATGAGAAGAAAACTTTGATAAAGTCTCTTCAAGGCCCACTCTTAGGTGATGTCATACGTATGACATCAAGTAAGTGTCACCATAGGTGATGCCACTACATGATGGAGGAGTGTCTTTCTCCAAGTCTTGCTCCATCTTCTCTTTCTCTGAAGGGTGCACATCTTACAGCTTGGTAAAGAATTCAGGTTTTTTGAATCTGAGCATTAGTAGCCACAATACTTTTCATGAAAATTTGCTGATGATGTTATTGTATCATTATAAATCTTATTTACAAAAATATGGCAACATGATGAGGCAGGATAGCTATGGTATTACATTCCCGTGTTGGTACCTTTATTCCAAGAGGGCCTCATGAATACAGCAGCTTCAAAACCTTTCTTTGGAGCATAATGGCCCATGATCTATAGTTTTATCATTCTCCTCATGAGCTATGTGGATTTTATAGAGTATGGATTTTGGAGCAGCTCTTTTTGCTACTAACTTTTCA